TGCAGCAGCAGCTGGGCCTCCCAGTCGAACAACGTCTTCTTGAAACGTCTTTAAGTTTTTAGGCTACCTTTCTGGAAGAATTCAAAATTGTACACTCTAAAAAATCTTGAGGTAAGGTTAGTTTAGATCACTAAGGTTAATGGTTGTTAAGGTAAAGTTTACTCAAGTCTACCTTAAAACTACTAAAGGTTAAAACTTGAAAGGTTAAAAATATTTCACCTCCCATCATTTTGCTTGTTTAGGTTCAGCTTGAGCATGTTTTGTGAATGCTGATAATGGGGGTGACCATGGCCTAAGGTTTATACACTTGTTATATGTCAGACCAATCTAGCTATATCAATTGAATCAATCGAGTGACATCAGAAAACTCTGACTTGGGGCTGAAATTGATTGCAAAAGCTGTAAAAGTAGACATCATTGGAGACACAGTGGAAACACGGTGAATACTCAGTTAAGGGTAAATTTCCAAGGTAAACTTCGGGTAACTTTAGTTAAAGTTCAAAGTATTTTCACCTCAAGTTTTAGCACAAAATTGAGGTGAGTTAAGGTAATATTTCAGATGGTGTAAGGTTTTTTTATCTTCCTAAATAGGGTACCTTTTTCAGATAAAGTATGGGTGACTTAATGTAGTAGTTAAGGTGGCTTGAGGTAAATTTATGGTAAGCAGTTTTTGCCTAACCTGTTGCGAAAACTTAAGGTACGTTTAAGGTACAGTTACCTCGTATTTTTAAAGTGTAATGGCAATTGAATAATATGGCCTAAGCCTAGTTGAAACTGTGTTGAACTTGCCACTTCGACTGTCGCTACTTCTCGTTTGGCTGTCTGTTAAGTCTTTACCCATTTGTGCCAATTAGTTACTCAATTTCTCCGAAAGGTAACCACGCTGCATCGAGTAGCCTCAAAATTACGATATTGTGCCAGACAAACTGTACAGAAAAGTAGTAGACCGTAGTAGTCGCCAAAAACTAATTGGTCAAAAAATTCTTCTTGAAAGCCACTGCCTTTTCGTCTAGCACCGCCTTCTGGAGCAGCTGGGCTTCCCAGTCGAACACCGTCTTCTTGAAAGCCACCGCCTCCTCGAGCAGCAACTCCCTCTGGACCAGCTGGGCCTACCACTCGAAAACCGTCTTCTTGAAAGCCACCGCCTTTTCGTCTCGCACCGCCCTCTGGAGCAGCTGGGGCTCCCAGTCGTACACCGTCTTCTTGAAAGCCACCGCCTCCTCGTCCAGCACCGCCCTCTGGAGCAGCTGGGCCTCCCATTCGAACACCGTCTTCTTGAAAGCCACCGCCTCCTCGTCCAGCACCGCCTTCAGTAGCATCTGGGCCTCCGAGTCGAACACCGTCTTCTTGAAAGCCACCACCTCCTCGTCCAGCATCGCCTTCTGGAGCAGCTGGGCCTCCCAGCCGAACACCGTCTTCTTGAAAGCCACCGCCATTTCGTCAAGCACCACCCTCTCGAGCAGCTGGGCCTCCCAAACGAACACCGTCTTCTTGAAAGCCACCGCCTCCTCGTCCGGCACCGCCTTCAGTAGCAGCTGGGCCTCCAAGTCGAACACCGTCTTCTTGAAAGCCACCACCTCCTCGTCCAGCATCGCCTTCTGGAGCAGCTGGGCCTCCCAGCCGAACACCGTCTTCTTGAAAGCCACCGCCTCCTCGTCCAGCACCGCCTTCAGTAGCATCTGGGCCTCCAAATCGAACACCGTCATCTTGAAAGCCACCACCTCCTCGTCCAGCATCGCCTTCTGGAGCAGCTGGGCCTCCCAGCCGAACACCGTCTTCTTGAAAGCCACCGCCATTTTGTCAAGCACCACCCTCTCGAGCAGCTGGGCCTCCCATTCGAACACCGTCTTCTTGAAAGCCACCGCCTCCTCGTCCAGCACCGCCTTCAGTAGCAGCTGGGCCTCCAAGTCGAACACCGTCTTCTTGAAAGCCACCACCTCCTCGTCCAGCATCGCCTTCTGGAGCAGATGGGCCTCCCAGCCGAACACCGTCTTCTTGAAAGCCACCGCCTCCTCGTCCAGCACCGCCTTCAGTAGCATCTGGGCCTCCAAGTCGAACACCGTCTTCTTGAAAGCCACCACCTCCTCGTCCAGCATCGCCTTCTGGAGCAGCTGGGCCTCCCAGCCGAACACCGTCTTCTTGAAAGCCACCGCCTCCTCGTCCAGCACCGCCTTCAGTAGCATCTGGGCCTCCGAGTCGAACACCGTCTTCTTGAAAGCCACCACCTCCTCGTCCAGCATCGCCTTCTGGAGCAGCTGGGCCTCCCAGCCGAACACCGTCTTCTTGAAAGCCACCGCCATTTCGTCAAGCACCACCCTCTCGAGCAGCTGGGCCTCCCAAACGAACACCGTCTTCTTGAAAGCCACCGCCTCCTCGTCCGGCACCGCCTTCAGTAGCAGCTGGGCCTCCAAGTCGAACACCGTCTTCTTGAAAGCCACCACCTCCTCGTCCAGCATCGCCTTCTGGAGCAGCTGGGCCTCCCAGCCGAACACCGTCTTCTTGAAAGCCACCGCCTCCTCGTCCAGCACCGCCTTCAGTAGCATCTGGGCCTCCAAATCGAACACCGTCATCTTGAAAGCCACCACCTCCTCGTCCAGCATCGCCTTCTGGAGCAGCTGGGCCTCCCAGCCGAACACCGTCTTCTTGAAAGCCACCGCCATTTTGTCAAGCACCACCCTCTCGAGCAGCTGGGCCTCCCATTCGAACACCGTCTTCTTGAAAGCCACCGCCTCCTCGTCCAGCACCGCCTTCAGTAGCAGCTGGGCCTCCAAGTCGAACACCGTCTTCTTGAAAGCCACCACCTCCTCGTCCAGCATCGCCTTCTGGAGCAGATGGGCCTCCCAGCCGAACACCGTCTTCTTGAAAGCCACCGCCTCCTCGTCCAGCACCGCCTTCAGTAGCATCTGGGCCTCCAAGTCGAACACCGTCTTCTTGAAAGCCACCACCTCCTCGTCCAGCATCGCCTTCTGGAGAAGCTGGGCCTCCCAGCCGAACACCTTCTTCTTGAAAGCCACCGCCATTTCGTCAAGCACAACCCTCTCGAGCAGCTGGGCCTCCCAGTCGAACACCGTCGTCTTGAAAGCCACCGCCTCCTCGTACAGCACTGCCTTCTGCTGCAGCAGCTGGGCCTCCCAGTCGAACAACGTCTTCTTGAAACGTCTTTAAGTTTTTATGCTACCTTTCTGGAAGAATTCAAAATTGTACACTCTACAAAATCTTGAGGTAAGGTTAGTTTAGATCACTAAGGTTAATGGTTGTTAAGGTAAAGTTCACCTCAAGTCTACCTTAAAACTACTAAAGGTTAAAACTTGAAAGGTTAAAAATATTTCACCTCCCATCATTTTGCTTGTTTAGGTTCAGCTTGAGCATGTTTTGTGAATGCTGATAATGGGGGTGACCATGGCCTAAGGTTTATACACTTGTTATATGTCAGACCAATCTAGCTATATCAATTGAATCAATCGAGTGACATCAGAAAACTCTGACTTGGGGCTGAAACTGATTGCAAAAGCTGTAAAAGTCGACATCATTGGAGACACAGTGGAAACACGGTGAATACTCAGTTAAGGTAAATTTCCAAGGTAAACTTCTGGTAACTTTAGTTAAAGTTCAAAGTATTTTCACCTCAAGTTTAAGCACAAAATTGAGGTGAGTTAAGGTAAAATTTCAGATGGTGTAAGGTTTTTTTATCTTCCTAAATAGGGTACCTTTTTCAGATAAAGTATGGGTGACTTAATGTAGTAGTTAAGGTGGCTTGAGGTAAATTTATGGCAAGCAGTTTTTGCCTAACCTGTTGAGAAAACTTAAGGTACGTTTAAGGTACAGTTACCTCGTATTTTTAAAGTGTAATGGCAATTGAATAATATGGCCTAAGCCTAGTTGAAACTGTGTTGAGCTTGCCACTTCGACTGTCGCTACTTCTCGTTTGGCTGTCTGTTAAGTCTTTACCCATTTGAGCCAATTGGTTACTCAATTTCTCCGAAAGGTAACCACGCTGCATCGAGTAGCCTCAAAATTACGATATTGTGCCAGCCAAACTGTACAGAAAAGTAGTAGACCGTAGTAGTCGCCAAAAACTAATTGGTCAAAAATTTCTTCTTGAAAGCCACTGCTTTTTCGTTTAGCACCGCCTCCTCGAGCAGCAACGCCCTCTGGAGAAGCTGGGCATACCACTCGAACACCGTCTTCTTGAAAGCCACCGCCTCCTCGTCCAGCACCGCCCTCTGGAGCAGCTGGGCCTCCCATTCGAACACCGTCTTCTTGAAAGCCACCGCCTCCTCGTCCAGCACCGCCTTCAGTAGCAGCTGGGCCTCCAAGTCGAACACCGTCTTCTTGAAAAACACCACCTCCTCGTCCAGCATCGCCTTCTGGAGCAGCTGGGCCTCCCAGCCGAACACCGTCTTCTTGAAAGCCACCACAATTTCGTCAAGCACCACCCTCTCGAGCAGCTGGGCCTCCCAAACGAACACCGTCTTCTTGAAAGCCACCGCCTTCTAGTCCAGCACCGCCCTCTGGAGCAGCTGGGCCTCCCATTCGAACACCGTCTTCTTGAAAGCCACCGCCTCCTCGTCCAGCACCGCCTTCAGTAGCAGCTGGGCCTCCAAGTCGAACACCGTCTTCTTGAAAGCCACCACCTCCTCGTCCAGCATCGCCTTCTGGAGCAGCTGGGCCTCCCAGCCGAACACCGTCTTCTTGAAAGCCACCACAATTTCGTCAAGCACCACCCTCTCGAGCAGCTGGGCCTCCCAAACGAACACCGTCTTCTTGAAAGCCACCGCCTTCTAGTCCAGCACCGCCTTCTGGAGCACTAGGCCTCCCAGTCGAACACCGTCTTGTTGAACGCCACCGCTTCCTGGTCCAGCACCGCCCTCTGGAGCAGCTGGGCATCCCAGTCGAACAACGTCTTCTTGAAAGCCACCGCCTCCTCGTGTAGGACCGCCCTCTGGAGCAGCTGGGCCTCCCAGCCGAACACCGTCTTCTTGAAAGCCACCGCCATTTCGTCAAGCACCACCCTCTCGAGCAGCTGGGCCTCCCAAACGAACACCGTCTTCTTGAAAGCCACCGCCTTCTAGTCCAGCACCACCTTCTGGAGCAACTAGGCCTCCCAGTCGAACACCGCCTTCTTGAAAGCCACCGCCTCCTCGTCCAGCACCGCCCTCTGGAGCAGCTGGACATCCCAGTCGAACAACGTCTTCTTGAAAGCCACCGCCTCCTCCTGTAGCACCGCCCTCTGGAACAGCTGGGCCTCCTAGTCGAACACCATCTTCTTGACGGCCACCTCCTCTTCGTCCAGCACCGCCTTTTGGAGCAGCTGGGCCTCCCAGTCGAACAACGTCTTCTTGAAAGCCACCGCCTCCTCGTGTAGCACCGCCCTCTGGAGCAGCTGGGCCTTCCAGTCGAACACCATCTTCTTGACGGCCACCGCTTCTTCGTCCAGCACCGCCTTCTGGACAGCTGGGCTTACCAGTCGAACGCCGTCTTCTTGAAAGCCACCGCCTCCTCGAGCAGCAACGCCCTCTGGAGCAGCTGGGCATACCACTCGAACAACGTGTTCTTGAAAGCCACCGCCTCCTCATGTAGCACCGCCCTCTGGAGCAGCTGGGGCTCCTAGTCGCACACCGTCATCTTGAAAGCCACCGCCTCCTCGTCCAGCACCGCCCTCTGGAGCAGCTGGACCTCCCAGTCGAACACCGTCTTCTTGAAACCCAACGCCTCCTCGTCCAGCATCGCCTTCTGGAGCAGCTGGGAGTCCCAGTCGAACACCGTTATCTTGAAATCCACCGCCTCCTCGTCCAGCACTACCTTCTGGAGCAGCTGGGCCTCTCAAACGAACACCGTCTTCTTGAAAGCCACCGCCTTCTAGTCCAGCACCGCCTTCTGGAGCAACTAGGCCTCCCAGTCGAACACCTCCTTCTTGAAAGCCACCGCCTCCTCGTCCAGCACCGCCCTCTGGAGCAGCTGGGCATCCCAGTCGAACAACGTCTTCTTGGAAGCCACCGCCTCCTCGTGTAGCACCGCCCTCTGGAGCAGCTGGGCCTCCTAGTCGAACACCATCTTCTTGACGGCCACCTCCTCTTCGTCCAGCACCGCCTTTTGGAGCAACTGGGCCTCCCAGTCGAACAACGTCTTCTTGAAAGCCACCGCCTCCTCGTGTAGCACTGCCCTCTGGAGCAGCTGGGCCTTCCAGTCGAACACCATCTTCTTGACGGCCACCGCTTCTTCGTCCAGCACCGCCTTCTGGAGCAGCTGGGCTTACCAGTCGAAAGCCGTCTTCTTGAAAGCCACCGCCTCCTCGAGCAGCAACGCCCTCTGGAGCAGCTGGGCATACCACTCGAACACCGTCTTCTCGAAAGCCACCGCCTTTTCGTCTCTCACCGCCCTCTGGAGCAGCTGGGGCTCCCAGTCGCACACCGTCTTCTTGAAAGCCACCGCCTCCTCGTCCAGCACCGCCCTCTGGAGCAGCTGGGCATCCCAGTCGAACAACGTCTTCTTGAAAGCCACCGCCTCCTCATGTAGCACCGCCCTCTGGAGCAGCTGGGCCTCCCAGTCGAACACCATCTTCTTGACGGCCACCGCCTCTTCGTCCAGCACCGCCTTCTGGAGCAGCTGGGCTTCCCAGTCGAACACCGTCTTCTTGAAAACCACGGCTTTTTCGTCTAGAACCGCCCTCTGGAGCAGGTGGGCCTACCAGTCGCACACCATCTTCTTGAAAGCCACCGCCTCCTCGTCCAGCACCGCCCTCTGGAGCAGCTGGGCATCCCAGTCGAACAACGTCTTCTTGAAAGCCACCGCCTCCTCATGTAGCACCGCCCTCTGGAGCAGCTGGGCCTCCCAGTCGAACACCGTCTTCTTGAAAACCACGGCTTTTTCGTCTAGAGCCGCCCTCTTGAGCAGCTGGGCATCCCAGTCGAACAACGTCTTCTTGAAAGCCACCGCCTCCTCGTGTAGCACCGCCCTCTGGAGCAGCTGGGCCTCCTAGTCGAACACCATCTTCTTGACGGCCACCTCCTCTTCGTCCAGCACCGCCTTTTGGAGCAGCTGGGCCTCCCAGTCGAGCAACGTCTTCTTGAAAGCCACCGCCTCCTCGTGTAGCACCGCCCTCTGGAGCAGCTGGGCCTTCCAGTCGAACACCATCTTCTTGACGGCCACCTCCTCTTCGTCCAGCACCGCCTTTTGGAGCAGCTGGGCCTCCCAGTCGAGCAACGTCTTCTTGAAAGCCACCGCCTCCTCGTGTAGCACCGCCCTCTGGAGCAGCTGGGCCTTCCAGTCGAACACCATCTTCTTGACGGCCACCGCTTCTTCGTCCAGCACCGCCTTCTGGAGCAGCTGGGCATCCCAGTCGAACAACGTCTTCTTGAAAGCCACCGCCTCCTCATGTAGCACCGCCCTCTGGAGCAGCTGGGCCTCCCAGTTGAACACCATCTTCTTGACGGCCACCGCCTCTTCGTCCAGCACCGCCTTCTGGAGCAGCTGGGCTTCCCAGTCGAACACCGTCTTCTTGAAAACCACGGCTTTTTCGTCTAGAACCGCCCTCTGGAGCAGTTGGGCCTACCAGTCGCACACCGTCTTCTTGAAAGCCACCGCCTCCTCGTCCAGCACCGCCCTCTGGAGCAGCTGGGCATCCCAGTCGAACAACGTCTTCTTGAAAGCCACCGCCTCCTCATGTAGCACCGCCCTCTGGAGCAGCTGGGCCTCCCAGTCGAACACCGTCTTCTTGAAAACCACGGCTTTTTCGTCTAGAACCGCCCTCTGGAGCAGGTGGGCCTACCAGTCACACACCGTCTTCTTGAAAGCCACCGCCTCCTCGTCCAGCACCGCCCTCTGGAGCAGCTGGGCATCCCAGTCGAACAACGTCTTCTTGAAAGCCACCGCCTCCTCATGTAGCACCGCCCTCTGGAGCAGCTGGGCCTCCCAGTCGAACACCATCTTCTTGACGGCCACCGCCTCTTCGTCCAACACCGCCTTCTGGAGCAGCTGGGCTTCCATGTCGAACACCGTCTTCTTGAAAGACACCACCTCCTCGCCCAGCATCGCCTTTTGGAGCAGCTGGGCCTCCCAGTCGAACAACGTCTTCTTGAAAGCCACCGCCTCCTCGTGTAGCACCGCCCTCTGGAGCAGCTGGGCCTTCCAGTCGAACACCATCTTCTTGACGGCCACCGCTTCTTCGTCCAGCACCGCCTTCTGGAGCAGCTGGGCTTACCAGTCGAACGCCGTGTTCTTGAAAGCCACCGCCTCCTCGAGCAGCAACGCCCTCTGGAGCAGCTGGGCATACCACTCGAACACCGTCTTCTTGAAAGCCACCACCTTTTCGTCTCGCACCGCCCTCTGGAGCAGCTGGGCCTCCATGTCGAACACCGTCTTCTTGAAAGACACCACCTCCTCGTCCAGCATCGCCTTCTGGAGCAGCTGGGCCTCCCAGCCGAACACCGTCTTCTTGAAAGCCACCGCAATTTCGTCAAGCACCACCCTCTCGAGCAGCTGGGCCTATCAAACGAACACCGTCTTCTTGAAAGCCACCGCCTTCTAGTCCAGCACCGCCTTCTGGAGCAACTAGGCCTACCAGTCGAACACCGTCTTCTTGAACGCCGCCACCTCCTCGTCCAGCATCGCCTTCTAGAGCAGCTGGGCCTCCCAGCCGAACACCGTCTTCTTGAAAGCCACCGCAATTTCGTCAAGCACCACCCTCTCGAGCAGCTGGGCCTATCAAACGAACACCGTCTTCTTGAAAGCCACCGCCTTCTAGTCCAGCACCGCCTTCTGGAGCAACTAGGCCTACCAGTCGAACACCGTCTTCTTGAACGCCACCGCCTCCTCGTCCAGCACCGCCCTCTGGAGCAGCTGGGCATCCCAGTCGAACAACGTCTTCTTGAAAGCCACCGCCTCCTCGTGTAGGACCGCCCTCTGGAGCAGCTGGGCCTCCATGTCGAACACCGTCTTCTTGAAAGACACCACCTCCTCGTCCAGCATCGCCTTCTGGAGCAGCTGGGCCTCCCAGCCGAACACCGTCTTCTTGAAAGCCACCGCAATTTCGTCAAGCACCACCCTCTCGAGCAGCTGGGCCTATCAAACGAACACCGTCTTCTTGAAAGCCACCGCCATTTCGTCAAGCACTACCCTCTCGAGCAGCTGGGCCTCCCAAACGAACATCGTCTTCTTGAAAGCCACCGCCTTCTAGTCCAGCACCGCCTTCTGGAGCACCTGGGCATCCCAGTCGAACAACGTCTTCTTGAAAGCCACCGCCTCCTCGTCCAGCACCGCCCTCTGGAGCAGCTGGGCATCCCAGTCGAACAACGTCTCCTTGAAAGCCCTCGCTTCCTCGTGTAGCACTGCCCTCTGGAGCAGCTGGGCCTCCCAGTCGAACACCATCTTCTTGACGGCCACCGCCTCTTCGTCCAGCACCGCCTTCTGGAGCAGCTGGGCCTCCCAGTCGAACACAGTCTGCTTGAAAGCCACCCCTATTTCGTCTAGCATAAGCCTCTGGAGCAGCTGGGCCTCCCTGTCGAACACCGTCTTCTTGAAAGCCACCGCCATTTCGTCAAGCACTACCCTCTCGAGCAGCTGGGCCTCCCAAACGAACACCGTCTTCTTGAAAGCCACCGCCTTCTAGTCCAGCACCGCCTTCTGGAGCAACTAGGCCTCCCAGTCGAATACCGTCTTCTTGAAAGCCACCGCCTCCTCGTCCAGCACCGCCCTCTGGAGCAGCTGGGCATCCCAGTCGAACAACGTCTCCTTGAAAGCCACCGCTTCCTCGTGTAGCACTGCCCTCTGGAACAGCTGGGCCTCCCAGTCGAACACCATCTTCTTGACGGCCACCGCCTCTTCGTCCAGCACCGCCTTCTGGAGCAGCTGGGCCTCCCAGTCGAACACATTCTTCTTGAAAGCCACCCCTATTTCGTCTAGCATAAGCCTCTGGAGCAGCTGGGCATCCCAGTCGAACAACGTCTCCTTGAAAGCCACCGCTTCCTCGTGTAGCACTGCCCTCTGGAACAGCTGGGCCTCCCAGTCGAACACCATCTTCTTGACGGCCACCGCCTCTTCGTCCAGCACCGCGTTCTGGAGCAGCTGGGCCTCCCTGTCGAACACCGTCTTCTAGAAAGCCACCCCATCCTCGTCCAGTACCGCCTTCTGTAGCAACTGGGATTCTCAGTCGAACACCGTCCTCTTCAACTCCACCGCCTCCTCGTCCAGCACCGCCTTCTGGAGCAGCTGGGCCTCTCAGTCGAACACCGTATTGCTGAAAGCCACCACATTCTCGTCCAGCACCGCCTTCTGGAGCAGCTGGCCCTACCAGTCGAACACCGTCTTCTTGAAAGCCACCACCTCCTCGTCCAGCACAGCCTTCTGGAACAGCTGGCCCTACCAGTCGAACACCGTCGTCTTGAAAGCCACCGCCTTTTCGTCTAGCACCGCTCACTGGAGCAGCTGGGCCTCCCAGTCGAACACATTCTTCTTGAAAGCTACCGCCTTTTTCGTCAAGCACCACCCTATCGGGAAGCTGGGCCTCCCAAACGAACACCGTCTTCTTGAAAGCCAACGCCTTCTAGTCCAGCACCGCCTTTCCGAGCAACTAGGCCTCCCAGTCGAACACCGTCTTCTTGAAAGCCACCGCCTCCTCGTCCAGCACCGCCCTCTGGAGCAGCTGGGCATCCCAGTCGAACACCGTCTTCTGGAAAGCCATCGCCTCCTCGTCTAGCACCGACCTATGGAGCAGCTGAGCCCCCAGTCGAACACCATATTCTTGAAAGCCACCGCCTCCTCGTCCAGCACCGCTTTCTAGAACAGCTGGTCGTTCCAGTCGATCACCGTCTTCTTGAAATCCACCGCCTCCTCGTCCAGCACCGCCCACTGGAGCTGCTGGGCCTCCCAGTCGAACACCATCTTCTTGAAAGCCACCGCCTCCTCGTCCAGCACTGCCTTCTGGAGCAGCTGGGCATCCCAGTCGAACACTGTCTTCTTGAAAGCCACCGCTATTTCGTCTAGCATAGGCCTCTGGAGCAGCTAGTCCTCCCAGTCGAACACCGTCTTCAAGAAAGCCAACCCATCCTCGTCCAGCACTGCCTTCTGGAGCAGCTGGGCCTCCCAAACGAACACCGTCTTCTTGAAACCCACCGCCTTTTCGTCTAGCACCACCCTCTTGAGCAGGTGGGCCTCCCAGTTGATCACCGTCTTCTTGAAAGCCACCGCATTTTCGGCCAGCGACGCCTTCTGGAGCAGCTGAGATTCTCAGTCGAACACCGTCCTCTTGAACTCCACCGCTTCCTCGTCCAGCACCGTCTTCTGGAGCAGCTGGGCCTCCCAGTCGAACACCGTCTTCTTGAACCACCGCCTTTTCGTCTAGCACCGCCCTCTGGATCAGGTGGGCCTCCCATACGAACACCATCTTTTTGAAAGCCACCGCATCCTCGTCCAGCAACGCATTCTAGAGCAGCTGGTCGTTCCAGTCGATCACCGTCTTCTTGATATCCACTGCCTCCTCGTCCAGCACCGCCCTCTGGAGCAGCTGGGCCTCCCAGTTGAACAACATCTTATTGAAAACCACCGCATCCTCGTCCAGCACCGCCTTCTGGAGCAGCTGGGCATCCCAGTCGAACACCGTCGTCTTGAAAGCCACCTCTATTTCGTCTAGCATAGGCCTCTGGAGCAGCTGGTCCTCCCAGTCAAACACCGTCTTCTTGAAACCCACCGCCTTTTCGTCTAGCACCACCCTCTGGAGCAGGTGGGCCTCCCAGTCGAACACCGTCTTCTTGAAAGCCACCGCCTTCTGGAGCAGCTGGGAATCTCTGTCGAACACCGTCCTCTTGAACTCCACCGCCTCCTCTCCAGCACCGCCTTCTGGAGCAGCTGGGCCTCCCAGTCGAACACCGTCTTCTTGAAAGCTACCACCTCCTCGTCCAGCACCGCCTTCTGGAGCAAGTGGGCCTCGCACTCGAACACCGTCTTCTTGAAAGCCACCTCCCTTTTGTCTAGCATAGACCCCTGGAACAGCTGGGCCTCCCAGTCGAACACCGTCTTCTTGAAAGACACCGCCTTTTCGTCTAGCACCGCCCTCTGGAGCAGGTGAGCCTCCTATATGAACAACGTCTTCTTGAAAGCCACTGCCTCCTCGTCGAGCACCGCCTTGTGGAGCAGCTGGGATTCTCAGTCGACCACCGTCCTCTTGAACTCCACAGCCTCCTCGTCCAGCACCGCCTTCTGGAGCAGCTGGGCCTCCCAGTCGAACACTGTCTTCTTGAAAACCACCGCCCCCTCGTCTAGCACCACCCTCTAGAGCAGCTGGGCCTCGCACTCGAACACCGTCTTCTTGAAAGCCACCTCCCTTTTGTCTAGCATAGACCCCTGGAACAGCTGGGCCTCCCAGTCGAACACCGTCTTCTTGAAAGACACCGCCTTTTCGTCTAGCACCGCCCTCTGGAGCAGGTGAGCCTCCTATATGAACAACGTCTTCTTGAAAGCCACTGCCTCCTCGTCGAGCACCGCCTTGTGGAGCAGCTGGGATTCTCAGTCGACCACCGTCCTCTTGAACTCCATCACCTCCTCGTCCAGCAGCGCCTTCTAGAGCAGCTGGGCCTACCAGTCGAACACCGTCTTCTTGAAAGCCACCGCCTTCTGGAGCAGCTGGGAATCTCTGTCGAACACCGTCTTCTTGAAAGCCACCTCCCTTTTGTCTAGCATAGGCCCCTGGAGCAGCTGGGCCTCTCATTCGAACACCGTCTTCTTGAAAGCCACCGCCTTTTCGTCTAGCACCGCCCTCTGGAGCAGGTGAGCCTCCCATACGAACAACGTCTTCTTGAAAGCCACCGCATCCTCGTCGAGCACCGCCTTGTGGAGCAGCTGGGATTCTCAGTCGACCACCGTCCTCTTGAACTCCACAGCCTCCTCGTCCAGCACCGCCTTCTGGAGCAGCTGGGCCTCCCAGTCGAACACTGTCTTCTTGAAAACCACCGCCCCCTCGTCTAGCACCACCCTCTAGAGCAGCTGGGCCTCCCAGTCGAACACCGTCTTCTTGAAATCCACCTCCCTTTCGTCTAGCATAGGCCCCTGGAGCAGCTGGGCCTCCCAGTCGAACACCGTCTTCTTGAAAGCCACCGCCTTTTCGTCTAGCACCGGCCTCTGGAGCAGGTGAGCCTACCATACGAACAACGTCTTCTTGAAAGCCACCGCATCCTCGTCGAGCACCGCCTTGTGGAGCATCTGGGATTCTCAGTCGACCACCGTCCTCTTGAACTCCATCGCCTCCTCGTCCAGCAGCGCCTTCTGGAGCAGCTGGGCCTCCCAGTCGAACACCGTCTTCTTGAAAGCCACCGCCTTTTCGTCTAGCACCGCCCTCTGGATCAGGTGGGCCTCCCATACGAACACCATCTTTTTGAAAGCCACCGCATCCTCGTCCAGCAACGCATTCTAGAGCAGCTGGTCGTTCCAGTCGATCACCGTCTTCTTGATATCCACCGCCTCCTCGTCCAGCACCGCCCTCTGGAGCAGCTGGGCCTCCCAGTCGAACAACATCTTCTTGAAAACCACCGCCTCCTCGTCCAGCACAGCCTTATGGAGCAGCTGAGCATCCCAGTCGAACACCGTCTTCTTGAAAGCCACCTCTATTTCGTCTAGCATAGGCCTCTGGAGCAGCTGGTCCTCCCAGTCAAACACCGTCTTCTTGAAACCCACCGCCTTTTCGTCTAGCACCGCCTACTTGAGCAACTCGGCCTCCCAGTCTAATAACGTCTTCATGCTATGTATTAAGATTGGGTATAGAGTCTACAATGTATTAAGATAGGGAATACCGATGGTAAGTTTTTATGGTTTGTGTGATGGTAAGATAATGGTAAGAAAATTGTGATTTTTTTAGTTTTTGTGTGGAAATGTCTAGTTTTTTCGCAAAAATGTTGGCGCGTGTTAACTAATTTGTGAATATCGAAGATTAATTACGTGTAGGTTCTGTAATGAAGGACTTTTGATTAGATTTTTGATACATAGTAAGTCAATGGTAAGAGTTTTTGGGTAAGTTTTTTATGAAAAAATTTTCAAAAAAACTTCAAAAAACGATAAGGTTAGCTATTATTTGACCTAATTTATTAACTAATCTTACTTTCTATCTAATTGAAACGATAATTTTACTTTCTATCTTATTGAAACAATGCTGAAACCTACTGAAACTTCGAAAAATTCAAATTTTTTGAGAAAAAATTGCCAAAATTTCAAGTATTTGGAAAAAATTGCAAAAATTTCAAGTATTTGGAAAAAATTGCAAAAATTTGAAGTATTGGAAAAATTGCAAAAATCTCATAATTTTGGCTAATTTATTGTTGCTTTTGATCTAATTTTAAACATACTTTTACGTATAGATTTTAAAAATAAGCTAAGACTGTATGTTAATTGGCATTATGTTGAGACAATGATACAACATTTTGAATAAAAAAAAATGACTTTTTCTACAATTTTTTCTCAAAATATTGAAATACGATGAAGTTTACCTTAATTTGAGCTAAATATTTGGTTATACAATGCTCTAAACACTGAAAAGAAGGTTCATAGTAGCAGAATCAATATTGAAACTTCCGGAAAACAGTGAAATTAGTCGTAATTTTCGAGAAGGTAAAATAAAAATTAATCAAATTTACCTGAAATTTTCCATTTCGAACTTTTACTTTGGTTTTTAACTGTTTTTTTTTGTCCAGTTCAGGGATTATTTTTAGGAATCTCAATTCAAATGAACGTTAAGGGTAATATCCTATGAAATTTCTAAATCAAACTCCATGAGTCAACTCCTCCTCATTTTTTTCTCATTGAATTACCCAAATTTGTACAAAAATTACAATTTGTGAGAAATGTTTCATGTTAAAAATTAGAAATTTCTGGTTATTGATAAAAAATGAAAAATTTATTGCTAAAGTTGTTTAAAATGGGATAAATGTTTCATAAAAATTTATTCGATATTGGCTCAAATTCAACAAAAACTTCTTCATAACTGATGATTATCTCTCTGTTGCTTCTGCAACATAACTTTCAAGATTTTCCGTAGAGTTTTTCCATGTTTTAAAGTTATTCTTGCTTTCTTTTTAAAACATGTTTTCGCTATTGAACACACGTTACTAGAAAATTTAGTCAAAACTGGAGAATTTAGGAGGAAAATAGTATCAATTGAACGAACAAGTTGCTAGCAGAGATGAAATTAGAACTGATACCGTATGATTATTACAATAAAAATGTTAATATCTTCCTCGAGGTTCCCCTGTTCAGTTACTATTGTAAACTATTTGAGCAAAAATACACATTTTGGAATCATTAACTATCACTTTTCTTGCAAAATAGTTATTAACTCGCTTTTTTTCTCAATTTATGACGGAAATTTTCTCAAAAATATCCAAGTGAGAAAGAATTGGTGCTAGTTAAAGCATTCACAAATATATGTACACAATGAGAATATAAAGGTGAATTTTTACGATCTAAGAACAAATTAGGAGCAGCTCTATTATTTATAATCTGAAAATCTCCGGAAATACGCAAGAGAACCTAGTTCCTAACATCTACAATATAACAACTTCTGAAAGAGCGAGTCTCAAAAAATTGATTTAGCAAAGCAAATCAAGGTGCAGACTGGAACAATTGTGTAATTTCCCAATTTTTATTAAGAAAAAAACTCTATGTAGTAAAAATGTAGTAATGTATTGTATATAGTGTTGTATATTCTATGTAGTATTGTGTAGCAAGGAAAAGTAGATCTTGAAAGCAAGTTTCCGATTTATGCTCTATGTATCTTCTTCCAAAAGATGTCAAATTGGGTTTGCTTTTCAAAAATTATCCTCAAAACATTTGATCTTTCATATAAAGTACCAAACATATCAAATGATAACAATTTTTTCTAATGAATTACGGATAAATATAAGAATTTGAGAATTTTTATGTCGGATTTTTTCTCAAGATATACTTTATAAGCTAAATTTTAGTAAAACTATCTCAAATCTCTTAGGGATTAAATTGGGTTTCTATCTCATTTTAGCATTTTCTCAGTTTCTGCTTCATCTACTATCTACCAAATGAATCCAATTTGAGCAAAATTTTAGTTGAAAATTGAATTTTAGATGGAAAAATGTATCGTTTCAATTAATACCATAAACCCTTTTCTAAAAAGCTTTAAAGGATTTTCTCAAGCTCATAACTGTATAATGCTGTTTTAAATCTGAATTTCTATTTTATACTAAATTTTTAGTTGGAATGATGTATATCATTATCTTGAAACTTTCAAAGTTTAGCAAAATATACATTTTTTCCAGGTCATTTATCAATTTCTTTTCTGAAATCATCAAAAAATCAATAAAAAACGTAATTCTTAATAAGTTAAACCACATTATCTGCTTAAAAAGCTCTGCTCTATGAACACTTTTACAAGCACTAAACCAGGAAAGCTTTAAAACAGTAACTAGAAAAACCTCTCAATTAACTGATGTTTTCCAAATATCCAAGTTTTACAATTTGTAACATTCGCCCAAATATCACACAGCGACGGAGCGTAGAAAAAGTACCTATTAACGACTGGCAGGCGTCAGTTACCTTAATTCTACTCGTTTTTCACCGTCTCGACCTTGCCAGTTGATTTTCTGGTCTGTTTAGGGCAAAGTAAAAAGTTACCATTTTTAGGCCATCAGTCAAACGACTTTTGATCAGCTTTCGTTTGCATGCGAACACAACCACATAGCTGAGTCTCGGATCCTCAGACTACGTGATTGTCAGTAAAAACACGGCTCGAACAACCTATTTTATTATGTTTTTGTGTGACAGTTTTATATTAAATCCATTGGAGATGGATTGACCCTTTCCTTTTTCTATCTACTCATGCTCTGAAATATTAAATAATAACGGTGTTTAATTAAGATCTAGGACATTACAGCAGCTGTTATAGTTAGTTTACCCAGTCCCTTCACATATAACAGTCTCTGGGGGACCAAGCCTCCGCTCCCGTGATTTTCTTGAGATAACACTCTTATCTCCTATATTTCGTGTCCCGGGAGGGTTCCGTGGTATTTCTCTTCCCCCCACTGAAGCATCCGTCTCCACAAATATCTGTCGCTAAGGTCCTTATCGTGTGTTCTTGCCACGATAAGAGGCTCCGTGTTTTTCTGTCTCTGATACAACTGTTCTCTACAATCTATATCGTGGTTCTCATTTTCGTCTTTTTTATTCAAAATGGCCGTCTTTTTTCTATTTCTCAGAAATGTTCTTCTTCCAATCGAAATTTTAAAAATAAAAATTCTAGAACATTCTGACCCTCCGTCGCAACACTTTTTTGTTCATTAGGCCTTTAGTCACTCTTTTTTCTGTCGCGGGAAGGTTGTGCTGTGTCATCCGGCAGAATGGCACATACTCCCCGGACAAGTCTCCATCAATGTCCCTATTGATCGCACAACACCGGGTTATCGTCAAGTAGGTATCCAGTTTTCTGTAACCAATCTTACAAATCGCATAAGAAAATGAAATTTATCTACTCCACTTCAACTCACTACGTGTTCACAAATGGCATCGTACTACATCTCACTGCCTTTCAACATTTTCACAAAATTTGCACCATGAGGAGTGTCCTAGATAAAATTTCTTTTCTGACTACTTACGTCGTCTTGTTATAAAACTTCTTTTCGCTCTTTGTGATTAAAAAGTGGGACGTGGCACGGCCACGCACCCGTTAAAATTAACTTAACTTCACTCACCAAGTATAATTAGTCATTTATGCGGTCCTTTCAATATTAAAACTAAGAAACTCTGTGGCTAGGAAAGTTATTGAGTTACCCACCCTTCTCGAGCGAATTTACTCAAACTTACCATGTCGCCACACAGTGAATTTGTGTCTTACACAGGTTAAAAACTTCAGTCGGGAATAAATAGGTAAATATACTCACCTATGCTCCTTATATACATACATAGATAGTAGTAACTAAAATCAACAATTTCAACAATTTTAACAATTGCAACAATTTTCAAAGTTTGGTCTGACCAAACTAGATCAAAACAAAAAGTTTAACAAGTTCAATAATCAAAACTTGGTTGATTGGTTTAAGTTTTTACACACAATTACAATCAAGTTTTTCTCTCCTTCTCTTCTTTTCCTTGGTCATCTTCACTCCATCATTTCTCCATCCTGATGTTCAGCGTCACTGTCTTCCAGAACTTTCTCTAACATGTCCAGAGAGTTGCGGGCCGTGCCCCAACCCTCCTGTTCCAACAGCCTCGGTTTGCAACAAGGTAGCAAGTCCACATTCACCTTCTGCTCCCGGTTCCTGCAAAAGCTGTTGTGAAGACACAGGCTCACGTTTCGTTCTAGGTCAGCTCTTAAGACCTCTTTCTTCTCATCTTCAGTAACAC